GCTGCAGACTTGTCAGTGCTGGTGATGCACCTATAATTACTGTCTGATGTGCCAGAATTAGACCAGGAGCCGAGCAGTTTGATGCAGAAGTGAGTGTCCTTGGCTGCCAGCGGGCAGATGGAGAAACGCAAGGCTGCGGGCAGAGCCCACCCAGGGGCTGGGGCTGCAGGGGGGGCTGCATCCCATCCCCTGGGCTTGGATCCTGGGGAAACTCCCAGGGCTGGGGCACAAACCCAGGCCCCATTGCCTTGGCTGAGACTCGCCGTAGGGCAGAGCACGATGCTGCCAAGAACCAACAAACGGGAATGATTCAGAATCATTTAGCGGCTTCTGCTTGGGAAGAGAGAGACCAGGACCTCAATTAAGCTATTTGTAAATTGTTAATTTAAACTTTTCACTCAGATGCCTTAAATTGTTCCCTCCTGCAGTTTACAAATGGGGAAAGAGAGCAGAAATAGAAGCGGAGCAGTGGGGAGATGCCATTTAGTTCTCGTTTTCGGCGGTGGTAACAGCACTGTAACTAACAGCGCTCCGGCTTAAATCAGAGCCAACGATGGCACTCTGTAGGGACGGGGCAGGGGGAGGTGGGCAGGACCCCGAGGGGCCCCCAGGCACTGAGGATACGGGACACAGAGCTGCCAAGCCTCCGTGTGCTGCTCTGCCACAGCTCTGTCACTCCGGTCCCTCTGCTGGGCCCCTTCTTTCCCAGGGAAGGACAAACGCTCTCCTGTTGCGGCGATAAGATCGCTCCTGCTGTGCTGGCAGCGTGTCACATCCCGTGTCACCACCACCGCGTGGCCACCGGGGGCTGCAGGCACTGAGCGCCACCGAGCACGTGGTGTGTGACATGTGTCCGAGTGTCCCTGGGAGCGGGGATGTGCCACAGCCCCGGGGCTGCACTCGGATGGGGACTGAAAAACGACGGAGGTGGAGGCGGCAAAGGGCGCCTCTCCTGTGCCCCGTATCCCCATCCTCATCCCCACCAGAGCTGGGGCTCAGCTCCCGTCTCGCAGAGCAGGGTTTGGCAGCATCTGCGCTCAGCGAATTGAGCAAAGGAGCCGCGCCGCAGGGTTTGGTGCCGAGCCACCGCGCCGGCTGGGAGCTGCGCCGCAGGAGGCAGCAGGACGGGGCCGAGCTCCGGCTCGCCGCTTCCCCAGGTGGCTCTGACTGCTGAGAACAGCTTGGGCTCTGCCAGCAGAGCTGTGCACAACGGGGCCCGTGGGAGGTTGCACCCTCCTGGTGCCAAATCCTCCCCGAGCCCCACCTGGCAGCGCTTGGCAGATCGCGGCGCCCATCGCTGCGCCCGTGGCAGCGCAGTGCCAGCCCCACAGATGTTATCGGCAATGCAGCCCCACGGATCCACTCCTCTGGGGATGCAGAGCCACCTCGGAGCCCCCTGTTCTCAGTGGGGTTGGAGGAGTATTTATTTCTCGAGGGCTTATCAGCGATCAGCTGGCTGAGTTTAATAAGAAATGACGCTCCCCGGCCCTTCAGCTGCGAGAACGCGTTTAGCCATGTGATGTCAAGAGGTCTCCGATGGATTTTTATCTTTATTCGTTTTCTCTTCTCCTTCATCTGGCTTCCTCCCCGTTTCTCAGAGCGGCAGACATGACACATCTGCTGATACGATGCCTCCAAAAAAGAAAAAGGCATTTCTGCCCCACGGGCACCAGCCTGCCCCATGGGCTGGGTGAATTCTGGACGTGTCCTCAGTCCCCGCAGCTGGGAACGTTTGCCTTTGTGGTTTGGGCAGAGCTCCTGCCCTCACAGGGGCTTTTCTGGCAGTTTTGGGGCATTGCTGTGTGCTGAGCTTCAATTCTGTCTGTGCACCAGGAAGGGAATTCAGACATGGGAAAGGGATTCCCAATGGGATGCGGAGGTTCTCATCGCCCACCGCGTCCCTCGCCCCGCTGAGCCATTCTGTTGTGCTGAGGAATGAGCAGATGAGGGCTGTCCACCTCCACCCCCCCATCCATCCGTCTGTCTGTCTGCCCATGCAGCCTGTTCGCTCCAGGGAAAAGCTTGAGCCTCTCATTCACCCCAGCAATGGGTCACATCCTCTCCCGTGGGCAGAAATGTCGCTCCGCAGCCCAGCACAGAGCGCAGGCCGTGCTGAGCAAAGGCCAGGCACGGGCATCAAACTGCCTGCAGCTTTTCTCCTTGTTTTTTGCAAGGCTTTCAGCGTGGCTCCCTGCTGGTTAACCCTTCTTTGCTGATGGATGGGGGCAAGTCCCACTTCTCCTCTAGCACTGGAGCACTCGCTCAGCACCCCATCTCTGGTCACTGCACGGCATACAATAGGCCCACTGTGCTGGGTGTGTTAGGGCACCGCATGCACGAATATTGCTGGATAGACTGCGAGCTCAGTGCCGCCGTTGTGCTGCGTGTCAGCAGACACAAAGCTGTGCTGTCTCACTCCCAGCACGGGGTGAAAGGGGCTGCAGTGCCTGAGGAGCGCTGCGCTGTTTGTGCCATGGCCAGCAGTGCCAGAGCAGAGCAGGGCTTCATTGTGCCGGAGCTGTGCATGGGCATTGTGAGGAGCAGGCGTGGGTCTGCAGAGCAGAAAGATGGCAGGGAACAGGAGGGGGAGCACAGGGAGCCATGACCCAGGCCCCTTTGCACCAGACCCCTTTGCACCCAGACCCCATGGCACCCAGACCCCATTGCACCCAGACCCCATTGCACCCAGACCCCATTGCACCCAGACCCTTTTGCACCCAGACCCCATTGCACCCAGACCCCATTGCACCCAGAACCCTTTGCACCAGACCCCATTGCACCAAACCCCATTGCACCAAACCCCATTGCACCCAGATCCCATTGCACCCAG